GGCCCCAGGACAGAGCCCTGGGGGCCGATCCTGTTTAATCTTTTCATTAACGACATGGAAGAAGGGGTGAACAGTCTGCTGATCAAATTCGCAGACGACACTAAAACTGGAGCAGTGGCCACAACTGAGGAGCAGGTACTCCGGATCCGAAAGGATCTGGACAGGCTATGGAAGTGGGCAGGAGACAACAGGATGGCGTTCAATGTGGATAAGTGCAAGGTCTTCCACCTGGGGCATAGGAATAGCTGTTATAAGTACAGGTTAGGTGACAAGTGGCTGGAGAGCAGCGCTTGTGAAAGGGACCTCGGGGTGCTGGTTGACTGCAGGCTGAACATGAGTCAGATGTGATGTGGTGGTCAAGAGGGGGAATGCCACCCTTGGTTGCATAGCCAGAAGTGTGGCTTCTAGATCAAGAGAGGTATTGCAACCACTCTGTACGACTCTGGTGCACCCGCAACTGAAGTATTGTGCTCAGTTTTGGGCCCCTCATTACAGAAAGGATATAGCCAGGTAGGAGTCAGTGCAGCGTAGGGCCACAAGGTTGGTGGCCGGTTTGCAGGGGATGCCGTATGAGGCGAGACTGAGGGAACTGGGTCTCTTCAGCCTGGAGAGGAGGAGACTCAGAGGGGATCTGTTGGCGACATACAGGTATGTGAGGGGGTGTCACATGGAGATGGGTAGAGACCTGTTCTCCCCTGCAGAGGAAGGCAGGGCACGCTTCAATGGAGCAAAGCTCAGGGAGCCAAGGTTCCATTTGGATGCCAGGAAGCACTTCCTGACAGTTAGGACCCCGAAGGTGTGGAATGGGCTTCCACGGGAGGTCGTTGAGGCCCCATTAGTGTGGGTGTTCAAGGATTGGCTGGACATGCACATGGTGGGCATGTCGTGAGCGGAGCCAGCTGGTGCTGGAGGTCAGACTAGATGGCCCAGGAGGCCCCTTCTGACTTGCTCTGTTTCTACATTTCTATGATTCAGACATAAATGGGCATCAAATATTATGGAGCAAGGGTGTACCTGATGTGGGCACACAAGTCTTGTGTTCCTATGTCCCATGGCAAACTCAACTAAGTCAGACCAGAGCAAGGGACCTGCTGGATTAGGCCAATATTTCCCTCTTGGGCCACCATCCTGTGGCCAGTTAGATGTTTCTGGGAAGCCCACAAGTAGAGCAGAAAGGAAACACAGCTGCCCCTCTGTTCTTCCTTCCCTAGCTAGAACTAGTATTCGGGGAGATATGGTTTTGCAAGTCCCACTTAGGTGAGTATTTGGGGAGAGGGGGCATCACTGACAAGCTAAGACCAGAGCCAATGTTTCTCGTGTTGGCCCCCGCTCATCACAGCCAGGAGCCTGAAACCTAAGACTGATGCCCAAAGAGACACACCCCACGACGCATGGGGTGTGCACACACAGTATGCTCCCACACTCCACTTTGGTCTTTCAGGGCCAAATCCAGATGGGGATGGTGTCATTTCTTGAACCAGCAAAGACACCACATTGTCCTAGTCTGCATTGCCTGATGAGCCTCTCTGTTTTGCTAGAGGAATCCGACTTTCAGAACACCCATAGAAGAGGACCACTGAACATTCACTGTGCATTTGCAACATACACCCCACTACACACACGGCGGGGGGGAGAGAGAGAGAGAGAGAGAGAATACGGAAATTGATTTTCCATCACCCATCTTTCACAAGTTCCAAGAACACAGACCCAAAAATGGGGAAGTTTTTACATTTAGCACATTCATAGCACAGCTCACCGTTCTCAGAATTTACATTATTAATCACATAATAAGGAATGGAAGAGCAGGACAATGAAAGAAAGCTAGACCAAAACTGTAAAAGCTGGGCAGTGAAGAGAGCTGTCAGGAGGAGAACTGCTGCATTCAGTGCTAACTTCAGCAACCTGGTGAACTAAGAGGAAGGCAAACAAGAGGGTCTGGGAACAAAGCAAGCCAGAGCTGTTTCTAGAAGCAAAAATGACAAAGCTGAGGCTGGTGTACTTTGGGCACATCATGAGAAAGCAAGAGTTCCTGGAGCAGACAATCCTGCTGGAGCAAGTTGAAGGCAGAAGAAGAAGGGAAAGACCAAGTGCGAGATAGATCAATTC